GTAGTAGTAGTAGTAGTAGTAGTAGTAGTAGTAGTAGTAGTAGTAGTAGTAGTAGTAGTAGTAGTAGTAGTAGTAGTAGTAGTAGTAGTAGTAGTAGTAGTAGTAGTAGTAGTAGTAGTAGTAGTAGTAGTAGTAGTAGTAGTAGTAGTAGTAGTAGTAGTAGTAGTAGTAGTAGTAGTAGTAGTAGTAGTAGTAGTAGTAGTAGTAGTAGTAGTAGTAGTAGTAGTAGTAGTAGTAGTAGTAGTAGTAGTAGTAGTAGTAGTAGTAGTAGTAGTAGTAGTAGTAGTAGTAGTAGTAGTAGTAGTAGTAGTAGTAGTAGTAGTAGTAGTAGTAGTAGTAGTAGTAGTAGTAGTAGTAGTAGTAGTAGTAGTAGTAGTAGTAGTAGTAGTAGTAGTAGTAGTAGTAGTAGTAGTAGTAGTAGTAGTAGTAGTAGTAGTAGTAGTAGTAGTAGTAGTAGTAGTAGTAGTAGTAGTAGTAGTAGTAGTAGTAGTAGTAGTAGTAGTAGTAGTAGTAGTAGTAGTAGTAGTAGTAGTAGTAGTAGTAGTAGTAGTAGTAGTAGTAGTAGTAGTAGTAGTAGTAGTAGTAGTAGTAGTAGTAGTAGTAGTAGTAGTAGTAGTAGTAGTAGTAGTAGTAGTAGTAGTAGTAGTAGTAGTAGTAGTAGTAGTAGTAGTAGTAGTAGTAGTAGTAGTAGTAGTAGTAGTAGTAGTAGTAGTAGTAGTAGTAGTAGTAGTAGTAGTAGTAGTAGTAGTAGTAGTAGTAGTAGTAGTAGTAGTAGTAGTAGTAGTAGTAGTAGTAGTAGTAGTAGTAGTAGTAGTAGTAGTAGTAGTAGTAGTAGTAGTAGTAGTAGTAGTAGTAGTAGTAGTAGTAGTAGTAGTAGTAGTAGTAGTAGTAGTAGTAGTAGTAGTAGTAGTAGTAGTAGTAGTAGTAGTAGTAGTAGTAGTAGTAGTAGTAGTAGTAGTAGTAGTAGTAGTAGTAGTAGTAGTAGTAGTAGTAGTAGTAGTAGTAGTAGTAGTAGTAGTAGTAGTAGTAGTAGTAGTAGTAGTAGTAGTAGTAGTAGTAGTAGTAGTAGTAGTAGTAGTAGTAGTAGTAGTAGTAGTAGTAGTAGTAGTAGTAGTAGTAGTAGTAGTAGTAGTAGTAGTAGTAGTAGTAGTAGTAGTAGTAGTAGTAGTAGTAGTAGTAGTAGTAGTAGTAGTAGTAGTAGTAGTAGTAGTAGTAGTAGTAGTAGTAGTAGTAGTAGTAGTAGTAGTAGTAGTAGTAGTAGTAGTAGTAGTAGTAGTAGTAGTAGTAGTAGTAGTAGTAGTAGTAGTAGTAGTAGTAGTAGTAGTAGTAGTAGTAGTAGTAGTAGTAGTAGTAGTAGTAGTAGTAGTAGTAGTAGTAGTAGTAGTAGTAGTAGTAGTAGTAGTAGTAGTAGTAGTAGTAGTAGTAGTAGTAGTAGTAGTAGTAGTAGTAGTAGTAGTAGTAGTAGTAGTAGTAGTAGTAGTAGTAGTAGTAGTAGTAGTAGTAGTAGTAGTAGTAGTAGTAGTAGTAGTAGTAGTAGTAGTAGTAGTAGTAGTAGTAGTAGTAGTAGTAGTAGTAGTAGTAGTAGTAGTAGTAGTAGTAGTAGTAGTAGTAGTAGTAGTAGTAGTAGTAGTAGTAGTAGTAGTAGTAGTAGTAGTAGTAGTAGTAGTAGTAGTAGTAGTAGTAGTAGTAGTAGTAGTAGTAGTAGTAGTAGTAGTAGTAGTAGTAGTAGTAGTAGTAGTAGTAGTAGTAGTAGTAGTAGTAGTAGTAGTAGTAGTAGTAGTAGTAGTAGATTCTTTAGTTATATTTTCTTATTGGATTTTCTGATTTATTTGATTTGATTTTCCTATCTACGATATACTTGATTGGATTTGTCACCATTGCCTTCTTTGCTTCCGTTTTTTGAATTCTTCATTCCGGCACCCAGTTTGTTATCAAATAAAGTCAACGTTCTCAGTAGTAGTAGTAGTAGTAGTAGTAGTAGTAGTAGTAGTAGTAGTAGTAGTAGTAGTAGTAGTAGTAGTAGTAGTAGTAGTAGTAGTAGTAGTAGTAGTAGTAGTAGTAGTAGTAGTAGTAGTAGTAGTAGTAGTAGTAGTAGTAGTAGTAGTAGTAGTAGTAGTAGTAGTAGTAGTAGTAGTAGTAGTAGTAGTAGTAGTAGTAGTAGTAGTAGTAGTAGTAGTAGTAGTAGTAGTAGTAGTAGTAGTAGTAGTAGTAGTAGTAGTAGTAGTAGTAGTAGTAGTAGTAGTAGTAGTAGTAGTAGTAGTAGTAGTAGTAGTAGTAGTAGTAGTAGTAGTAGTAGTAGTAGTAGTAGTAGTAGTAGTAGTAGTAGTAGTAGTAGTAGTAGTAGTAGTAGTAGTAGTAGTAGTAGTAGTAGTAGTAGTAGTAGTAGTAGTAGTAGTAGTAGTAGTAGTAGTAGTAGTAGTAGTAGTAGTAGTAGTAGTAGTAGTAGTAGTAGTAGTAGTAGTAGTAGTAGTAGTAGTAGTAGTAGTAGTAGTAGTAGTAGTAGTAGTAGTAGTAGTAGTAGTAGTAGTAGTAGTAGTAGTAGTAGTAGTAGTAGTAGTAGTAGTAGTAGTAGTAGTAGTAGTAGTAGTAGTAGTAGTAGTAGTAGTAGTAGTAGTAGTAGTAGTAGTAGTAGTAGTAGTAGTAGTAGTAGTAGTAGTAGTAGTAGTAGTAGTAGTAGTAGTAGTAGTAGTAGTAGTAGTAGTAGTAGTAGTAGTAGTAGTAGTAGTAGTAGTAGTAGTAGTAGTAGTAGTAGTAGTAGTAGTAGTAGTAGTAGTAGTAGTAGTAGTAGTAGTAGTAGTAGTAGTAGTAGTAGTAGTAGTAGTAGTAGTAGTAGTAGTAGTAGTAGTAGTAGTAGTAGTAGTAGTAGTAGTCACATCCTTTATTGCTGAACCCACAAATAATTGTGATACAAATTGTAAACCATCCGAGGAAGAAGAGAAAGCTATTAAAAATAAAAAAAATAAAACAAAAAAAGGTTATTGTACCGGCTATTATTAAGTCATGTACCAATTGTAATACATGACGTAGTATAGTAGTCAAGCACCTACAAAATACTTTGCAGGATAATATTTAAATTGCCTAGCATGCCTACAAATCCGCAGAGCATGCCAATGTTAAATAGGCCAACATATGAATACCGAAGGCGGTTACATGGACAGAAGGCGACATTGGTCGAGAAAAGATGGGCCTATTCTCTTCCTCAAGTAAGACGCTCTGCAACCACGGAGGCACGTGATTGACCACCTCAGCAAAACAAATGCAATTTTGCAGCGTAGCTGTGCCATCACAACAGCATACTGGAGGTCACTATGCTTCACTATAGTAGTAGTAGTAGTAGTAGTAGTAGTAGTAGTAGTAGTAGTAGTAGTAGTAGTAGTAGTAGTAGTAGTAGTAGTAGTAGTAGTAGTAGTAGTAGTAGTAGTAGTAGTAGTAGTAGTAGTAGTAGTAGTAGTAGTAGTAGTAGTAGTAGTAGTAGTAGTAGTAGTAGTAGTAGTAGTAGTAGTAGTAGTAGTAGTAGTAGTAGTAGTAGTAGTAGTAGTAGTAGTAGTAGTAGTAGTAGTAGTAGTAGTAGTAGTAGTAGTAGTAGTAGTAGTAGTAGTAGTAGTAGTAGTAGTAGTAGTAGTAGTAGTAGTAGTAGTAGTAGTAGTAGTAGTAGTAGTAGTAGTAGTAGTAGTAGTAGTAGTAGTAGTAGTAGTAGTAGTAGTAGTAGTAGTAGTAGTAGTAGTAGTAGTAGTAGTAGTAGTAGTAGTAGTAGTAGTAGTAGTAGTAGTAGTAGTAGTAGTAGTAGTAGTAGTAGTAGTAGTAGTAGTAGTAGTAGTAGTAGTAGTAGTAGTAGTAGTAGTAGTAGTAGTAGTAGTAGTAGTAGTAGTAGTAGTAGTAGTAGTAGTAGTAGTAGTAGTAGTAGTAGTAGTAGTAGTAGTAGTAGTAGTAGTAGTAGTAGTAGTAGTAGTAGTAGTAGTAGTAGTAGTAGTAGTAGTAGTAGTAGTAGTAGTAGTAGTAGTAGTAGTAGTAGTAGTAGTAGTAGTAGTAGTAGTAGTAGTAGTAGTAGTAGTAGTAGTAGTAGTAGTAGTAGTAGTAGTAGTAGTAGTAGTAGTAGTAGTAGTAGTAGTAGTAGTAGTAGTAGTAGTAGTAGTAGTAGTAGTAGTAGTAGTAGTAGTAGTAGTAGTAGTAGTAGTAGTAGTAGTAGTAGTAGTAGTAGTAGTAGTAGTAGTAGTAGTAGTAGTAGTAGTAGTAGTAGTAGTAGTAGTAGTAGTAGTAGTAGTAGTAGTAGTAGTAGTAGTAGTAGTAGTAGTAGTAGTAGTAGTAGTAGTAGTAGTAGTAGTAGTAGTAGTAGTAGTAGTAGTAGTAGTAGTAGTAGTAGTAGTAGTAGTAGTAGTAGTAGTAGTAGTAGTAGTAGTAGTAGTAGTAGTAGTAGTAGTAGTAGTAGTAGTAGTAGTAGTAGTAGTAGTAGTAGTAGTAGTAGTAGTAGTAGTAGTAGTAGTAGTAGTAGTAGTAGTAGTAGTAGTAGTAGTAGTAGTAGTAGTAGTAGTAGTAGTAGTAGTAGTAGTAGTAGTAGTAGTAGTAGTAGTAGTAGTAGTAGTAGTAGTAGTAGTAGTAGTAGTAGTAGTAGTAGTAGTAGTAGTAGTAGTAGTAGTAGTAGTAGTAGTAGTAGTAGTAGTAGTAGTAGTAGTAGTAGTAGTAGTAGTAGTAGTAGTAGTAGTAGTAGTAGTAGTAGTAGTAGTAGTAGTAGTAGTAGTAGTAGTAGTAGTAGTAGTAGTAGTAGTAGTAGTAGTAGTAGTAGTAGTAGTAGTAGTAGTAGTAGTAGTAGTAGTAGTAGTAGTAGTAGTAGTAGTAGTAGTAGTAGTAGTAGTAGTAGTAGTAGTAGTAGTAGTAGTAGTAGTAGTAGTAGTAGTAGTAGTAGTAGTAGTAGTAGTAGTAGTAGTAGTAGTAGTAGTAGTAGTAGTAGTAGTAGTAGTAGTAGTAGTAGTAGTAGTAGTAGTAGTAGTAGTAGTAGTAGTAGTAGTAGTAGTAGTAGTAGTAGTAGTAGTAGTAGTAGTAGTAGTAGTAGTAGTAGTAGTAGTAGTAGTAGTAGTAGTAGTAGTAGTAGTAGTAGTAGTAGTAGTAGTAGTAGTAGTAGTAGTAGTAGTAGTAGTAGTAATAGTAGTAGTAGTAGTAGTAGTAGTAGTAGTAGTAGTAGTAGTAGTAGTAGTAGTAGTAGTAGTAGTAGTAGTAGTAGTAGTAGTAGTAGTAGTAGTAGTAGTAGTAGTAGTAGTAGTAGTAGTAGTAGTAGTAGTAGTAGTAGTAGATTCTTTAGTTATATTTTCTTATTGGATTTTCTGATTTATTTGATTTGATTTTCCTATCTACGATATACTTGATTGGATTTGTCACCATTGCCTTCTTTGCTTCCGTTTTTTGAATTCTTCATTCCGGCACCCAGTTTGTTATCAAATAAAGTCAACGTTCTCAGTAGTAGTAGTAGTAGTAGTAGTAGTAGTAGTAGTAGTAGTAGTAGTAGTAGTAGTAGTAGTAGTAGTAGTAGTAGTAGTAGTAGTAGTAGTAGTAGTAGTAGTAGTAGTAGTAGTAGTAGTAGTAGTAGTAGTAGTAGTAGTAGTAGTAGTAGTAGTAGTAGTAGTAGTAGTAGTAGTAGTAGTAGTAGTAGTAGTAGTAGTAGTAGTAGTAGTAGTAGTAGTAGTAGTAGTAGTAGTAGTAGTAGTAGTAGTAGTAGTAGTAGTAGTAGTAGTAGTAGTAGTAGTAGTAGTAGTAGTAGTAGTAGTAGTAGTAGTAGTAGTAGTAGTAGTAGTAGTAGTAGTAGTAGTAGTAGTAGTAGTAGTAGTAGTAGTAGTAGTAGTAGTAGTAGTAGTAGTAGTAGTAGTAGTAGTAGTAGTAGTAGTAGTAGTAGTAGTAGTAGTAGTAGTAGTAGTAGTAGTAGTAGTAGTAGTAGTAGTAGTAGTAGTAGTAGTAGTAGTAGTAGTAGTAGTAGTAGTAGTAGTAGTAGTAGTAGTAGTAGTAGTAGTAGTAGTAGTAGTAGTAGTAGTAGTAGTAGTAGTAGTAGTAGTAGTAGTAGTAGTAGTAGTAGTAGTAGTAGTAGTAGTAGTAGTAGTAGTAGTAGTAGTAGTAGTAGTAGTAGTAGTAGTAGTAGTAGTAGTAGTAGTAGTAGTAGTAGTAGTAGTAGTAGTAGTAGTAGTAGTAGTAGTAGTAGTAGTAGTAGTAGTAGTAGTAGTAGTAGTAGTAGTAGTAGTAGTAGTAGTAGTAGTAGTAGTAGTAGTAGTAGTAGTAGTAGTAGTAGTAGTAGTAGTAGTAGTAGTAGTAGTAGTAGTAGTAGTAGTAGTAGTAGTAGTAGTAGTAGTAGTAGTAGTAGTAGTAGTAGTAGTAGTAGTAGTAGTAGTAGTAGTAGTAGTAGTAGTCACATCCTTTATTGCTGAACCCACAAATAATTGTGATACAAATTGTAAACCATCCGAGGAAGAAGAGAAAGCTATTAAAAATAAAAAAAATAAAACAAAAAAAGGTTATTGTACCATGCCAAACGGCTATTATTAAGTCATGTACCAATTGTAATACATGACGTAGTATAGTAGTCAAGCACCTACAAAATACTTTGCAGGATAATATTTAAATTGCCTAGCATGCCTACAAATCCGCAGAGCATGCCAATGTTAAATAGGCCAACATATGAATACCGAAGGCGGTTACATGGACAGAAGGCGACATTGGTCGAGAAAAGATGGGCCTATTCTCTTCCT